TGCAGCCTTGGTAATGGTATTTAAGGGGATAGTGTCAGTTATTAAGACAAAAAACTTGGGATTTACTTTGTTTAGAAAAACCTACAACATTGTATTATTTAGGACACTACTAAAAGAAAGGACTTCCGAATACCCTTTTCCTTTTCTGTGATCCAACTTACAGTCATGTAGCATAGTCCATCTGTACTATTTTTTTAAGTGTTTTTTACTATTTTGACAACTATTTTAAAATTTTCCTAGTATTTAATTTTAAATCCTTTTTTAAAAGGTTCTATGTGCTTGTGTATTTCCAGCCTTGAGAATTTTAGGGGCAAACATGCCAGATTCTTTACTCTTTTATACAGAACAGCAATAGCTTCCTAATTTGTCAAAGTTCCATGTCAGATATGAAATTCAAGGTAAGGAATTTGCTCATTTGTTTAAAACCTGTTTAGCCATAACTTTCAGTTTATGGTTTGTGTGGGTTTTTTTATGGAGCATTTGAATCTGCATAAATTTGGAAGCTATGCTCAGTGGCTATGATTTGTTGCTGCCCTGGGCTGTCAGGCATTTAGTGGTGAGATTATTGCCTATAAAATTTGCTAGGCTAAGGGATTTTTAGGATGAACAGGGAAGCTTCAGTGAAAGACTGGAGGACCTTTGGGAGTACCTGCTGCCCTGGATGGTGCTTTCTGTTGTTTGGGACATACGTAGGTGCTAAAAACTGCACCAATGGTGATTCCTTTGTCTTTAATAGTCACAATAATTTGTTTTTTCTTTGATCAACTCTATGTGCATAGGGTAACAAGAGGTGGCAGAAGTAACCTTTGTGAGCCAGGAAGAAAAGCTTCTGGCCTACATCATGCAGTGTAACCTAGGTGCATGGGCAAGAGAGTGTGTGTAGCCAGAGGAATGAATGCCATGTGAGGGTAATTGTACTCTCTCTAGTTTATTGAACCATTGGAGAAATGAGCAGGCAAACTGATGTAAACCAGAGAAGATAAGCAAAATGTTGAAAAGAAACCACATAAATGTTGTGGTTCTCCCCACCCTTAAAAAATAGGTTAGTTAACTCAGATGCAGAATTTAAGGCAAAAGAAAAAAAGCTTTTTGAGAAGCAGAAGTGTGAGGAAGGTGATTGTAAGGCTTTATAGGTAACAATATACACAAATTAGAGAATGTCACTCAAATGATATGTCTGCTTTTACTTACAGTTAGGTGTAGATATCATAGTAAGCAAGTTATGAACAGTCTCCATCAGATCATGTTGCTGTTTTTGCAGAACTGAGTTGTTTACTGTAGCTGTAACCAACTGCTTTTCTAGTTCCTCTATAATAGAATTCTGTCTGGCTACTAGGACTTGAAGCTGATCTTTTTCATCTTTTATTGACTTCAGCTGAAGTGTGTGCTTGTCTTCCATCTCAAGAACTCTTTTTTCTAGAACACTAAACAAAATACTACAATTAAGCTCTCAAAAAAAACCCACAAATTGTGAGCTGATGTAGAGAATCAAGTTACAGAAGTTTCTTTCTTCATAAATACTCAACTTCATTCTCTGATGCTATGCATGCAGTAGAAAGCTAAATGAAAGCTGAGTTTATTTGGCTACCACTAGTTATGACTATTAAGTATCTTTTATACCATTCTCTCCCAGGTTAGGCATAATAGTGAAAGATTTCATGGTTTTATTCTATTAAAAGATAAAACTTGTTTAAAGATGAACCTATGAGCTTTCCAAATGTACTGTAATTATAATAAAATATATACTTAAATAAATGTTACAGTAGTAATACAGGGAAATATGCAAATAGATACTTGAAGATGTGTTACCCATCTCCAGCTCTGGAGCTGGTGTGAGTAGGTGACTGGCTGGAAAATTATTTCATTGGTAATTGTTTTGATGCAGATTCTGAGAAAGTTGATGTTAAAAGATGCATGGCCAGAAGGGAGAAGTTAATGTAAAAATCCATTACTGTTAATGAAGAAACTCCTAAACTTTGTAATTACGTTTCAAGCAGATTAGCTCAATGTCAAATCATATTTTGTTAGGTGAGAAATAATGCTTTTTTGTTTACATGAGTTTTATAAGGGTAGCCTAAAGTCTGCTGAGTTCAACACAAAAAAGTAACATTTCAGAATTCAGTATGTACTTTGCTTTCCACTTGCTAAGGATGATTGTTTTTTATTAAGCTGGTAGATAAAACCATTAGGGAATATAAATGCAGTAGAGTAGTGAACAAAAATGTCAAAATACGTCTCTTGGTTTTTTTAAGCTAATTCTTTTAAAATAAAAAGCACTTCACACATATGGTTCTCATTGAAAAACATGGCTTTGAAGGAGAACTTACTGTTATTGCTTCTTTTACATTCCTCTGTAAACTGTTTATTGCCAAAAGTAAAATAAGAGCCTGGTGATATGAAAATGAAACTAGCTGAAAAACATATGAGCCTTTGGACATCAGATGGGTACATACATGGACAGGAGTAATAAATAGGTGGTTATCAGTTTGAATTTCAAAAGATTGACTTGAGTAAGGAACGTTGAATATGAGCAATATTTGACTTTTCTCACCAGGTTTGAAAAAAACTGTAGCAATGACATAAGTGTTTATTAGGGTAGCTATGTACTACATGAAAATAAAATAATAGAGATGTGGTTGCACTAGCTTAGTTTCAGTCACACCACATAATCCATAACTGCATCTGGATAAGTTTAAAGAGGAATAGGAATTGGCTATAAATGAAGTACTGAGAAGTATTTCAGTTTTAACCTTAAGTTCTTAAGTTTTACCTTAAGTAAATGAGAACTTAAGATAGTGAAGAATTATATATAAACAGAACACATGAATAATAAACCTGCATGATTTTCCTTTAATCATATAGGACCTTTATAATGAGCAGAGCTGGGAATGTGGAGCTTCTGTACAAGGCCTTACTTTCCTACTTGAGTACCTTTGTTTCTAAAACCATTAGAAGGTCACTTCAGGGAACAGAGTTTTATTGGGTTGATAGGCAAACTTACCTGTTTTTTTCTTGCAATTTAGTTATCTCGTTGGTCTGATCTGAAATCTGTCTTTCTAGTTTGTTTGTTGAAAGAGAGTGTTCCAAAAGCTGAAGTTCAAGTCTGGTTGTCTGGTTTAATACCTAAAAAAAAATTATAAAAATATTTGAAAATCAAGACATTTCTTTTAAATAAATTGTAATTTTTTTATGTTGTGAAATAATGCAAATATGTACTTAAGCCTATAATGAAAAAAATATTTTTGAAGACCTAATTTGGGCACAAATGCTCACAGAATGAGAATAAAGAAGAACACACAGGGTTGTATCCATTTTTTTGTTACACTACCATATGTCATTGGGAATATTTCAGTAGTATGCTACATTTCTGATCAGTAGCTGAGAGCTATGGTGTCTTTTAGTTTTGCTGTCATACCTTCTCTTTTGTTATTATATTTTTATCTCTTTACTGGAACTACTATTAATTTATGGTTGTTGTTCAGAGAATAATTTGAGTTGTTTTCTCAATCTGGTGTAGAAAGAAAGTGCATATCTCACACTGGCTGAAATCTTGGCCCAGTCCTGATATTACTAGATAGATCCCTCTTAGCTATTTTCCTTAATTGCAAATTACATTTTAAAGTGTTTATCATGTAAACCACATTTGTGTTGATTCATTCATTGCATTTTAATATTATCTTTTCTATATATATTGTTTATTGTCTAAATTTATTTGTATCTTTACATGAAGAAATACAGATATTAGGAAACATGGACAATACTTTTTGGTTTGTATCAGATTGCATTACTTTGAGGCATGTTTTCTAGAAATATTTTCTCATTGTTTTAGAACAGCTTTTTTTAATTCAGCAGAATTTGGCTTTCCTTGGCAGGAAGAATTGATTACTCATGTCCTTCATATTAAACAGTCATTCAGGACATGATTTCACACTTAAATGCAATTGAAAACTGTTGCCAAAAGTAAGCGTCCTTGAGAGAGCAACTGTTTGGTTAATTTCCTTATGTTGTTAATTAAGCCCTTAACCCAGTCACCAGTAATTTCAAGCAGAGAAGGAAAGTTACACTGATTATTTTCTTCCTCTAAGCAGAAAATAACTGAGTAATTTCCATAAAGACATTACTGTGAACGAATAAATACATTCTCTCAACATGTGTAAAATACTGGGCTCCTGAATAATGCAATCAGAAGATGAACTTCAGTATGCCTGTAAGCTATGAACTATCAGTTTATCAAAAAGTTCACAAAGGCTTTTTTTAGGTTAAAAAATGTAATTTAATACATCGTGTGAATTCTATAAAATGTCTAACAACAATTCTAGGTTTTGCATGCTGTTTACATTATACAAAATGTTATGTGCTGCATGCCATATTCATTATTTTGTTCTGGAATTATATATCTGGATTTTCCTACCATGTTAGCAAAACTACAAATAAATACCATTCTACATTGATTGGACTTGTCCTTATAACTTATTAAAATCTTCATTCTATTTCTCAGAATGTCTTATTGTAGTTAATGCTTTTCAATTAAAGCAATTAAAGATAAACACATTATTTTTTGTTTGAAATCATTTAGAGAATAATGTGTACAGTAGGCAATTTTACTTTTGTGGATACACTTTTCTAGTAGCCTCCTCCTAATTCTGTTTTTTCTTGATTCATATCTGATTAACTTCTTTATCCCTATGTTAAAAAACAATAATACAGTGCGTTGTGCTGGAAATTAACTCCTATTCCATTTACAGTACCTGTGAAAACATTAATTAAAAAGACACCTTTTTCTTGATAAGAAGTCTTAAAAAATACAAAAGAAAATTTAAATGTAAAACAGCAATTCACCTGGTAAATGAAACAAAGGCAGTTTGAAGGAAGTCTTTTAGCTAAGACCTGGTGGTGAGAGGTGAATAATCAACAGAGATATACAATGAGGTTTGTATAAAAGCACACTAGTACCCAACTGATGCTTGGATATAGTATAGTAGTTTTAAGTACATTATCTCCAAAGATGAATGTAAGAATTGTCTTGCTGGACTTAGTGTTATCCCACTGTAATGGAGGTCTTTCAAGTGACAACAGCAGGCTTGAGATGGAACTATGTTTCACCAAATTCTAATGCTTCATTAAGATGAGTAGAGCTGTTGATTATAATGATTGACTTCTAATTGTTGAAGGGACTAGTGTAACACTAAACTGTAAAAACACTAAACTATGTTAAATGTATCATTGTAGGTGTTTGGGAAGCAGAAGCATTTTTAGGTTGAAATTCATTACTTACTTGTGCTTCAACATCTGTTAATTTGCGGGTCTGTTCAGCTGTTTGATTTAGTAAGTTTGTGCCTATTTCAATCATTACTGCAGTCTGGTTCTGCACTGCAGTTTGCTGGATCTCTACCATTTCTTTCTTCATATTGTCTTGGATGTAATTCTCAAGCTACATGGGAAAGGAAAGAGAGAAGATAGTTGCATTCTTTAAATGTTGGAAGAGGGGGTAGTACAGTAAGCCTGCTGGCTGCCTTGTTAAACAAATTTGTTTCTTGTCTGTTATGCATTTATGTGAAGTTTCCCGATGTTAAGCTCTGTGAGAGGAAGGGCAAATATGACAAGGAATGTGTGGCCATCCATTCTTCAGGAAAGTGGCAGGAACAGAGATTTGCAGGAGGTAGGCTGAAGATACAGCGGTGGGAATGCTTGCGGGTGCTTGGAAGCTTTTCTGCCTTAGTGCTCTCACCATTGTAACCATCAGAGGAGCTTCACCAGCTTTGGCAGCACTGGGAATTTTTTAGAAGACAAAAGCTTAGGAGTTTAGTCATCTTCCTGTATCTAGACTTAAATATTTTCAAAAGCATTTTTCATCACATGACTAGGAGTCAGAGAAGAGGTCAGATGTCATTTAACACTGTTATGTGCACATTTTTATCAGAGAGAATTTCAAATAAAGGCATGAAACTGCAGGAAAACCTACAAATACTTTAAATGCTTAATATATAGGAATGCAACAACTGTTTTAAATACTTGGTTCTGAAGTAATTTCTGTGTCTAAACTAATAAGGCTTTTTATAATAAGTCATTTTATAAAAGAGTACACTGCTTTCAAAGAAAGCGAGGAACTAAGTAGCCATTATTTTATGGCTAACTATATCAGAAAAAAAAAACCAGCCTATGATTAAATATTCTACCAAACCACTGTTCAGATATAGCCATTGCACTTCTGACTAGCTGAAGATAATTGGCAGATCTATCAACTTGGAATGTTTTCCCCTTAAATAGTACTTGAGCAAGGCTGGGCATATTTTCTTTTCCTGAATTCACAATTATTTTTTAAAAGTAGCAAATGAAAATAGGGAGTAGTAAGAAGTTAAAACCTCTAAAACTGGAAATACAGTCTTAGTTTGAAGTTAGCATTATTTGTTTTTGTCCAGTGTGACCAAACTTTCAAAGCTGTATTTGTTCACTCCATTCTCCCCATGCAGCTGGTGAACTGCAATGCACAACAGAGATTTTGGACCTGGCACAAGCTTTGACCCACACCTACTATACTGCTGTATAAGTGTGCTTATTTCTCAGAGGTACTACAAGGATTTAAAACTAGGTTTTAGACATTAGATGTTCTTTGTGTAACAATCTTTTTGAATACTAAAGGTATACAGTCAACTGGGTTGTGGCATGATAATTTAACATGGATATCTTCAATCGCCATTACAATATGGCAATTAGAGTTGTTCCCTATTCACAGGACCAGTTCTGAAGTGTTATCTTTTGCTCCTGGACACTCCTCATTGTCAAAAGCCTCCCTACTTGGAGACAAATCTAATTTGACCAAATATGTTGGATTTTTTAAAAAAACTTTGGTGACATGTTTTAGGGCAGCTGCTTCTTTTCTGCTGAACTAAGATCAGTGACTTTTAATTGTGTCATAAGACGTCTTTGGTTCTTGATTATTAGGATATGAGATGTCAGAGTATAGTGGTAATTTAATTTAAAAAGCAGCATAAGATGGTGTTTAGTGCACCATAGTCCAAGGAGATGTGCAAAATTCTGAAGGCTTTTATATAGATAAAAATAAGTAATTTTTCACTAAACTTAGATGCTGCTCTGTGAAGACCAAGAGCAACAATTAATATGTGTCCCTCTGAAAGGGCTAGACATCTGGAGATTGAAGAATTTATATGAGTCCAAATTAACTTTAGCAACTGAGGCTGGAGAAATGGACATCATTATAGACAACTTGGAAAAGACCTTTGCTGAAATGTACCTCTGTTAGAAGAAAATGAAAGGACATGTCCAAAATATATTTTATTTGCCTCAGTACCACAGTTAGGTATTGTAAAGCTTTTGTAAAGATCAAGGATATGGCTTTGCATAGCAGACTCAATGCACACCTGCATTTCAAAGGGACACTAGGAGAAAAAAAAAAAGGACATACAGAGGTAAAAAGTCATCTCAGGTATCAGAGAGCTACCATATGAGAAAGCATTTAAAATATTGTGTCTTGTTTAATTTAGAAAAAAGTCTCCTGGAAAAAAGAAAGAAGGCAATAAATAGATGAACAAAGAAATACTGATGAAGAGCTTTTGTTCTTTCATAAAATAATTGTGGATAATAACCTCATTCTTCAAGGTTGTTTCCTTGTTCACTGGAGAGAGATCAGAATAAGAATCTGAGGAAAGTCATCTCTGCAAATAGGATTACGGACCTGCATGTCTTCTTTGAAAATGTTATCGCTGAGTTATTCCAAACCACACTACTAGAAAGTGAGTTAATTCTGGGCTTAAAGGTAAGGTAAACATTTTATGGTGGCTTAGGCAATTGTCCAGTTAAAACACACAGCTGTAAGGTTGCTTGATTACAGTACGCAAAACCCGTGATTACAATTTAAGGCATCTGGTGGTTCTGGTTGCCAGATTTTATACTGCTTGTCACTATCCTCGCAACCATAGAAAGCAGTTTTGTTTGGACACACTGATCTGTATTTTCATAATTTATCTTATTTGAATATCTGTAAGTATAAGCCTATCTCCAAGTATCTAACCCTTTCCAAATAATATCTCATTCATGTGATGTATTCTAAATCTCTTGACTCCAGGTTAACAGTTTGTCTTCACATCTATTTTTCAACTGAAAACTATGAAATAAGTAACTTAGGGAATATGCTATTTGTGCTTACTTGAAAGCATGAAATATGAACATCAAAAGGGATTTATTTTAAGAATTAAAGCCAGTTTCATTTGTTCTAATTTAGAGTAACATGAAGCATCAAAATTATATTGCCCCATTATGTGGCTTTGGAGCTTCTTGGTTTTTTTTTTCCCTAAAAACCCTACAAAGCACAATTACATAAACCCCTCCTGTTCTTTCCTTCATATTCACTAATCCTCTCCCATTTTTCTGCATCCTCTGCATGTACACATCATAAAATCTCTTTTCCTGACCTGAACCAAGGTATACTCTCATTCCTTTTTGCATATATTCCTCTCTCTTCATCGTACAAACTGTAGAAACTAGAACTTTTTACAACTACCTTTAATAATTATTTTTTTTAGTGGCAGGTGCTTACTTTCATCTTTCTTCAAAGATGAATAAAATAATTACTTTCATCCAAAATGCCCATGATCTCCAACTGGCTTGAGAGCAGAACGTGTTCCCATTGAATACTCTTGGAAATAAAGGCTATTGGGTTTCCCTGAGAGCCAGGGTTGAACATCTTTCTCAATATAGGCTCCAGCTAAGGCAGCTGAGGCTGAGCTTCATCAACCACACTGAGGATTAGCAGCCATTCTGCAAGGCTGCTGTTCTTTGTGGCACACTTCATTGTAGAGCACTGCCCATCAGCTCCTGCCAAGGAGCCTCCTTCCTTTATAAAGCCATAGCACACGCAGAATTTCTGAAAGGGAGAGAATAGCTTGGGGCATTTACAAGACGAAAGGGCAATGGAATGAGATGGTTCAGTCCCCATCCAGGTTTCAGAAGCTTGGCAGTTTGGTTTAAACAGCATGTCTGTCTTCTCCAACATTCTGCTCAAATCTGGAAGTTGCAGCAGGGTTTATTTGCCAGATTTCTCCCTTGCCACATGGCTAGTAATGGGAAGATAAATTTTAATCTCTTTTTAATTCAATTAATACCTGGCATATAAGACTTGTGTCTATGTTAACTTTGATTTCATGATGGTTATTTTGGACAAAGTAATTGTCAAAACCTAATAGCTGACTATTAGTGATGCATTTTATTTCAGAGATTCTGAGAGAGTAAGTCAATCAAGAAATCCCATCTTAAAGAAATTGCAGGGGAGAGGGAAAGTGGTATTAATACATGCAATTTGAGAGAAGGGTTAGTTGATAGCATTTCAGTGATTCTTCATGGGATTTTTCTTATGAAACATTCTGGGTTTTGTGTAAGATTTTGGCTGGCATGTATTTTTGAAGAAAGTGAATAAAAAAATGAAAGCACAGATGGGAAAAAGTCTCCTAAAGTATGCTGCAATTGCAGAAATGGCTGGGAATATTGAAATAAATAATTTGACAATTAAGGTTTGTAATACAGTTAAGGTGATGCGCTTTTAGAGAGAAAAAATTCTCTCAGATCATCAATTTGGGGCTGTCACGTTTTATTACTTCAAATCATATAAAACCGTATAATTTGACAAAAATACTTTAGTTAAGTTGCCAAAACATCAAGGACAGATCAGTCATATTGGAGCACATTCCAAAACATAGCTTTTATAGTCAATATTGCCTTTTTTAAAGCAAGCTTTAAATTGGCAAGAAATAAAATACAACATGTAGAGTATGTGGTAGATGAAATTTTTGTTTTCTAACTGTTGGCAGAGATGGCATTAATCCTTTTATGAAGGACTGCCAATTCTTATTTAAATGAAGAACCTTCCTGATTGCTATCATGTAGTTTTTGTCCGAGCTACAGAACAATTTTCCAAAGAATCAATAACGTATTTGTGCATTTTGTAGACACATTAACTTGAGGTCTTGCTTTTGTTCTTTGCTGCCAAATGGTTAGAATATACTAATTAAACAGTCATTTTCCTGGAAGCATTTGTAATTATATGAATAAATACATCCCTTCTTTGCCAAATGCTACCCCATGTAAGTGGTACAAATGGTACTGGCTGCTAGTTTCATTTTATACAATATGTCAGTTATTGGAGCAGTTTTTCCAAAGAAAGTTTGATGATTTTCTTAATGTTTATAATCTAATTCTGTCCAGTGTAACATTTATTTTCAGAGAGAGGGGCAGTGTTAATCATGAGTTTCTACACAGTGCTGTGTCCTCTAGAAGAATTAGGTAGATGGCTGGAGCTGCATGATCACTAAGATATATCCATCCCCAAGACAATTTTTTCTTGATTCAAATATGGTTTACTAGACTAAGCAATTTACCATTTTCAAGTTATTCATCTATAAGTTTGAGAAAATTCCAAGA